AGTAGGCAGTTTAGTGAACGTGCACGCGGCAGGGCGAATCGGCCTCGATAAGCCCTGTAGAACTTTGTGATCGGCCACGAAGCCTCGTATTTTGATGAGTCTAAACAACTTAGTGTTAATCGCACTGCCACATCCGACAGGCCTACATCTTTTTAAAAGGAAAAAAAGGACATCAAAATGGTTTAATTTGCGTGAAAATCGATTCGGTAGAACTGGAACTATTAAAATTTGCTTCTGAAAACAAGTTACAAGGCCATATATTTGACTTTAATAGTGCAGGTGATAGCTAGATCTAGATTACCTGTCTAGAATCAATAGTAGCAGGCCTATGCTAGAAGCAGCCAGAGAGCCTACAACTGCTAGATCTAGATCTAACTCATTGCTATGCCTTTGGGCTTTGGAATTGAAATAAAACGAATTGCACAGGTCTAGTTAATTTTAAATTCAGCAACTAACTGTATTTCCAGAGTAAATATTAACAAATCTCACCATAACAATTACTTTTACTTTTATTTGAATAATTAGATCCAACTTTTTTTTTCTAAAATCTGTTTTGCGCAAACTTAAGACTTTCTCTACTTGTAGAGTACAGAATTTACATTGTAAGCCTCTGCTCAGTCTTTTACTTTTAAGTATATCTTAATAAAATACGTATAGATCTAGATCTATATAAATATAATCATTTTATGTTATTTTCTGGATATTTTTAAAACTCTTTTTTTTAACATGTCATAAAGTCAAATTGTGCCTTTTCTTTGATAAGAATAGCATTAGCAGTGGACTTTTTAGACAGTGAGTCTCTGATTCAATATTTCTTTTAAAATATGCTAATCAATGAAAATTGCAAATTGATAATAGTATAGTCCTGTAGAGGATAGGTGGACTCCGGGGTCTGCATAGCGAAATACTAGGTTTTAGGATGCGAATCCCGGAGTCACCGTAGTGAAATAAGGTTTGGTTTAAGTAAGGATTGGTGGACCCCGGGGTCAACGTAGTGATAAATAAACAGGTTTAAGGTGGACCCCGGGGCCCGGGGTCTACCTAGAGAAATACTATGTTTTTAGGACAGGTGGACCCCGGGGTCCCCGTAGTGAAATAAGTAAATTTCTTTAAAGATCGGTGGACCCCGGGGTCATTGTAGTGAAATAAGTAGGTTTAATTTTAAAAGGATTGGTGGACCCCGGAGTCACCATAGCCGTAGAGGAATAAGAAGGTTTAATTAAGGATTGGTGGACCCCCGGGACACCGTGATTAAACCTACATATTTCACTACGATGACCGTATGGTCCACCTATTCTAAAACCTAACTAGTATTTCGTTAGGTAGACCCTGGGGTCCACCTTAAACCTATCTATTTCACTAAGTTGACTCCAGGGTCCACCAATCCTTAAAATTAAACCTAGATCTGTACTTATTTCACTACGTTGACCCCAGGGTCCACCAATCCTTAATTAAACCTAGATCTACTGATTTCACTACGTTGACCCCGGGGTCCACCAATCCTTATTAAACCTAGATCTACTTATTTCACTACGCTGACTCCGGGGTTCACATCCTAAAACAGCATTTTGTTAGGTAGACCCCGGGGTCCACCTGTCCTTTTGGGGCTAGATAGACCCCGTGGTCTGCCTATCCCCTTCCTTGATACATTTAATAACTGAAAAACATGCCAGTGGTCATGAATAGTGAAGAAAAATGCGGAAAAAAAGATAATGAGGTAGACTATAATTTGTCAAAAAAATTGCAAGTGCAAGTGAAGATCATAAGATAATTTTGTTATTTTCCTGTCATCTTTTCATGGTTTATAAAATGTTCCAGTAGGCCTACTACTCGATCTATGTCTCTGAAGAACATTTTGCTTGACTTTATTAGCTTTTTTTCATGTACTTGAAAGAATAGAATATAATAGTTTCACACAAATGTATGCACAATACCTTGAAAAAGAAAGATAATGTCATTGTTGTTGTTGTTTTTTAACGGAATCCGTTTTACGTTGAGAAAAGCGCTAAAAACAAGTTAAAATTTTTAAAGAATGCCCATAATATTAGGAATCCGAAATTCTACCTTGATCTAGTTTGCTTACTCTTTAATAACCATGAGCTGTTAAGAAAAAAGGAGAATGATATAGGATTTGTCTAAATCTGACCATTAGTATTAGCATAATAAAGATATTCCCCATTTTGTCCAATTATCCTCGCAGGTAAAATCACCCTGTACTACACCTCAATAAGCACAAAAAGAATATTTCTGTGACTTTGTATAAAGGTGTTTTGTAGTTGAGTTCTAT